TCAAAATAAGTGAAGCTCCTAGCAAAGGCATGTAACTTGGGGGCAAATTGGGAATTTGAGCTTTAATGACCATTCTTTCAATAGCCATACCCCAAACCCCATCACAACCCAAAGCAAAAGTCCTTTTGGAAGGTTTTGAAACTTTAGATGTTTTCATTATTACAATCACTAGGTCAAAGATAGCATGGGGGACATTTTGAGCTTAATATCCTTTCTTTCAAATTAACCAAGCCAATGACCATGTTACAAGCCAAATGAAGTCCTTATCAGAGGATCTGAAAGCTTTTGAAATTTCAATGTGGTTTGAGTGATAAAAATATATGATTGCCTTAAAAAGCTGGGGGCAAAAATTGAGAAATTTGAAGCTGAGCCATTCAAATGATTCAATGATCCATGAGTTAAAGATATCATCTTTATACTTTATGAAAGAAATGATTATAATTTGTTGAGATAGCAAGGAAAAGATTCTTTTTCTCTGTCAAGAATTTCAAACCTTTCATCTTTTTGTCAAGAATTCCATTTCTTTCATCTTAATCATGTCATCCATTCATACCTATCAATTCCATCTCTTTTTGTTCTTATCATCGTATCCTCATAATAAAAAAAAGAAAAAAAAAAAGGGGGCTTTTGCTTTATTCATGCTACTTATAAAGAAAGTAGAGATAACTCACATGGAGTCAAAGCAACAAGAATCCCAAGGGAGTGAACTTAATTGTTGTCATGCATGATCATTTTGAGCAGTGGGCATATGATGTATTCAAAAAATCTAGCCATTGTTGGTGATATGATTGAGTCAATTATAGATGCGAGCGTGCAATACAAACTTCAAATTGAGGGCAATTGCAAATGCAAGGTAAATTCTTTTTTCCAATAAATCTACATCTCAAGATCACAAGGTAAAACCATCTTCAAACTCCTTCATGACATTTCCAAAAGCATTTCTATAAGAGGCAATTTCTCAACTAATTTTCAAAAGTAATTTTTCAATTCATTTCTTACCAAATAAGCATTCCATAACATTTCTGTACCAACATGACATATCAACATAACATTCCATTTCATTTTCCTGCCAAATAAGCATTCTATTACATTTCTCTACTACCATGACATTTTACTACTTTTGTCTGCAAGCATTGACTTTTCACATAGCTTTTTGTGCAAACATTTGAGTTTTTTTTTCATCCCATTTAGCCCAACACACGGCTTGCATCTCATTTAGCCCAACATGCGGCTTGCATCTCATTTAGCCCAACATGCGGCTTGCATCTCATTTAGCCCAACATGCGGCTT